GTTAATACTACACAACTGGAGCCTCAAAACACTGACCCAAATGCACTTTTGTTACTTCTGTTAAGTGAATTTCATACTGTGTCCCTGACTAACAAGTCATATCATTGGCACCAAGCACCTTTCAGGCAGGTAACTGAACATCCACACAAGTTGGGTTTGGGCACAAGTAGCTTTCTGCAATCTTCTGCCCCCAGACAGACACAGTAATGGAGCACAGGGACTGCTGCCTCCCAAGGAGCCCTCCTCCTTCCCATTCCAGAGCCCAGTGGCACAGATTGGGGAGTAGAACCAGTCAACATGTGAGGGGAAAAAATGATTTTTTTTTGTTTATGATTTTGTTTATTTGCGAAAATCTTTTGTTTTGGAAAATATTAGCCACTCAAATGAGCAAAAGATGGCAAAAAAATAAGTCAAAAATTCAAAATTTCTAAATCAGCTCTCTTGGGGAGCATCATTCTGATCATTATTATTTGTATTGCAACACCCCAGGTGTTGCATGGTCATGGACCAGGACCCCATGGTGCTAAGTGCTGTACAAAATGACAGTCCTTGTCCCAAAGAGCTGGGCATTCTCTCACCCAGACAAGTACCTCAGGGAGGGATTTTTTACTTTCTGTGGCACAATCCCTTAAGGAGTTCCCCCTGGAGCAGTGCAGCTTCACTCCACTCCCAATGCAAAGCTATGCATATTGGCCACACTTGAACCCTTTATCTGGAAAAAAAGAAGCACACACAAAAAACAGCTGCTCCTTTTTAGCATTCTGAATATTTTATGAGTGTTGTTATCTCCAATGAGGTCACTGATTACCTGAGTGTAATAAGAAATATTATTTATTATTTATATAGTGTCATAAACAAATAAGTGAGCTGATGTCAAACTACCGAGTTCCTGTTCTCAAGTCCTTACAATATAAAGGTAGCAGAGACTACAATGTGTTATAAAATCAAACCGAATAGACTCAGAATGGTCTAGGGCAGGGGTTCCCAAACTTGGTTCGCGTCTTGTTCAGGGTAAGCCCCTGGCTGGCCGCAAGACACTTTGTTTACCTGAGCATGCGCAGGTACAGCCGCTCATAGCTCCCAGTGGCAGGGAACGGCGAACGGTGACCCTGAGAGGGTCATTATCATTGGAATGCTTCATGGAATAAGCAGTTTTTTGTTTTGTTTTGTTCTGTTTTTTAAGAACAAGAAGGTGGAGGACCCCAGAGGGCACTGCAACCCAGGTTGCCTGAACTCTGAAGTGGCCCCCGGGGAATCCCCCAGAATGGTCCCCTACAGCCCCTAAGAAATATTGTGCCCAACTATTGCAACCTCCAAGGTGCCCTCTAGCACCACATCGCCTTCTCCAAATCCAAAAAGCACCAAAAAAACAGAGAAGATCTGTCTGCCTCCCTTCTACAAGTTCCAGATGGCCATGGATACTGTTGAAATTAAATCTACAGTTTCCACCTTACAGGCCACCATGACTGAAATTCAGAGTGCACTACAGCTCTAACCAGAAGGATGGGTGAAGCAGAACACAGAATTTCTGAAGTAGAAGATGATTTCAGAGAGAACAAATTATAGGTTATGAAGAGCTGTTATGATATCAGGACTATTAAGACCTAACTATTGGATCTAGAAAGCCACTCACAATGATGTAACATCAGGATTCTCTGAGGGAACAGAGAAAAGTAAACCTTCCAAATTTGTCCCTAAACTATTAAATTGTTGGATTTGCCAGTAGATTTTTGGTTCGATATAGAAGGGGCACACCAGGCCCTTGTCCCCAGTGAGCTCCAGGTGGTTGGCCTAGAGCATTGATTGTGATATATAATATATTATATATTTATTATATAAAAATCATTGCTTTATTAGATGGTGCTTCCTTATGGACTAATGTATCAAGATTCTATTGGTAATAAGTGATTACTATAGTAATGTTTGGGGCCCCAGGGGCTATGAGGATCCCAAGTTTCACCTGATCCAGCAGCCCCCTCTGGGTGTCGTGTGTGTTTTTAGACTGTTTACCCAGATTCCTCTTTTTTTTTATTGTACGGTACTAATGTGTATTTCTCTCTCCACTATCTTTTCCATGTTATTTCACTTATTTAATTTCTCTTTCTGCCACCATCCTGTTACTGTCCAATGCTAGGAATTTCATTCCTACTCTTGTAGAATAGGTATTGGGAAGTGACACCCTATCCCTGGATTATATAATTTTTGCTGCTTAGCTATGCAAGAACTGTGTGCCACTCAGAAAATTTTGCTATTTCATTTATTCACAAAGTGACCTTATATTTTACCCAGTATATTTTAACAATGATGGCTCCGATAACTAAACGTGTCTCCTGGAATTTAAAGGATTTTAATAACCCTGTTAAAAGAGAAAAAAATATGCAATGCTTAAAAAAAAAGAATGATGCCATTGTTATGTTCCAGGAGACACATCTGACAGAACATGAAGCTTGTAAACTGAATAAAGCTTGAATAGGCCTCTATGTTTCCTGTTTGCTTTTATTCTAAAGCTAAGGGTGTTGTCGTACTAATACATAGAAAGTTTAATATTAATATTCTGAGGATAATATCTGACAGTGAGGTTAGATTTACTGTTCTCATGGCTGAAATCGACAATTCTAAAATCATCTTTGCCAATCTCCACAGGACAAACCAGGATGATCCCAAATATTTTCATGAGTGTAAATGACATGGGCCTTCATCCTATTATTATAGTTGGAGACTTTAATGAAACTCTAGATCCAGTCCTTGATAAATCTTCTCCATCTCCATATAAAACCACTAATACTCATCAGCTACTTCATACATACAGGGTTGATTTAGGCTGATTTGAGGAGAGTGGGTAATCCTATAGCCAAAGAGCATAGGGTTTTGTTTTTTCTGCAGCTAATCCAACAAATTCAATATTGGACCATTTCTTAGTGGCACAAGATGATGAATTCTGTCACTGATTGTGGCATTGGTACTATTATTATATATGACTATGCTCCTATACATATGTCTTTCTTGTGGAGGGAAACCTCAAATATTTCTTACTGGACTTGTGAATGTGGCACAGATTTTGTCATAGCCACAAAAAGTGCCAGCAACCCTGAATAATAATTACATAAATTCCTGAAGAGAAATAAAGTTGACTATGGAGTTGATCAACTAACTATTCTCTACTGCTTGCATGGCAATTCACATTTCTTTGTTGAGGACTGCAGTTTAGCTTTGAAAATAGCTACTTGTGAGGGTTACTATAACCTTTTGAACAAGGTTGGTTATACTTTTTGCTGCTATAAAGATGCCAATTATTTTAGTTTCTTCTGTAACAGAACGTAAAAATTGCTCCAGGCTTTAGCTGTCCTTGTCACAGAATTCTTTGGGCTCTTTCTGCCAACAAAACAACCAGGAATAGTAGGTTATATATGCAAGTGCTGGGGAAGGGCAGATGGGTAGGCTGCCAAAAATAGGAGGCTCCAACTATCTAAAATGTGGTCATTTTCAATGTGGGTATTTAGGGTCATACGTTCCTGGGGCTAGCACACTATGGAGCGAAGAAATGTGTTAGAACTTACTACAAATCCTGCCCGAAAATGCCATGCAAAAGCCAAAACTTCTGTTACATCTTCAATTACAATTACAGCTTCAAATTGCATCCCGGCAAACAGAATATTTGTCCAGACTAACAAAATCCAGACAAATAATTGAGGTGTGGTATAAAGAAGCATGAATGTAGTCAGAGAAAAATCAACTTGTTACATTTGCTACCCCAGGAAAAAAAATTACTTCAGAAAATAGACCAACATACTGCTGCCCTAGCCACTAGTAGTTTGCTACTGACAGACATCTGCACCTTGATGAGATGGCACGACTTTTAGACCCAGTCTACACTAGAAAAGGTTTAGCCTACCATATGCAGAAGAGAGGCTCTATTCCAGTCCCTGAAACTAAACCTGTTCAGGAACTCTTCTCGCTTTTTACATGTTAGCTCTACATTTACTCCTTTAGCTCACTGGGGAAAGGGATGCCATTTCTGTTGCCTGCTGAAAGCTGCTGAGCTGTGGCCAGGAAGGATCTGGACTGAGCAGTTTACCTGTGTGGAATACAATGAGTGTCAAGGTGGCAAGTAATAAAAAAGTACACACTGAGACAATGAGTAATAGCTGATTACTGTGACCATAATTGCTTGATTATTTCTCCATGTAACATGCTGAATATTTGCTCCCACCTTCTCCATTGGAGTTCTGATACCTTCAGAATGTTGATGTTCATAATACATACAGAAATAGAAACGCATATGGTTCTCGAAGTGTGCTGCATCTAACATCACTAAAGATTTGTGTCACCTATTGCCGAAATGAACAGAAAGTCTGTCTATCTTAGGTATTTATACTGCCACGCATCACCACCGGAGTGCCTTTTATATAAAAGCAAATAGAAATAACAGTCTCTAGTAGAGTTCATGAAATTTCTAGCACTTCTCCCTCTTCAGAGTAAAAAGCCTGCTTGACATTCATGCTTTTTGATGGTGGCAGAGACCATGTGAAGGGCATGCACAGAGAAGCAGAACCAAGTCAAATTACTGGTGCTACAATTGCTTGAACACAACCAACAAAATTATGTGATACTGTCTGTCCAGCAAATGGCAGGAATATATTCCCTATGAAAATAACAAATATTGAAACTACTTGCAACAGCATATGTTGAGACCTCAATTCTTTCATGTTTGACATTCAGTATCATGTGGGCAGAAGATCTTCAGTTCTCATACTAGCTGTGTTGAACGGACACGAGAGAAGGTTCTTTAATTCTGAGACCCCCTTGCAGATAAAAGAATACTGGCATCTTTAACCTTTAATTTATGTAATAACTTCAGTCAAATCTGGGCCATTCCTTAAGCTAATGACTAAATGCAGACAACCCACCAGTTGAAAATCTACAACAAAAATATTAAGAAGATTGGGTTGTGTTCCAGGTGTAGTCAAGGGGAGCGTGAGATGGAGGAAATGAATACAAACCTTTAGAGGAGCGGAAGTGCTTGCTGGGTGCTGTGAAGCTTCTTGTCCCATGCACATTAACAGCTGCCACTCGGAACTGGTACCACCTGCTGGGTCTTATGTCAGACAGTTGTACTCTCTCCTCTGTAGTCTGGTGGGAAAAATGTCATAACACACTGACTCCGTTTATTCTGAAATGTTAATCTTACTATCTCACATCTTTTGACGCACAGTTAGTTTAATCAGTAGGGTTTTTGAGGTTGAGGATATTGGAGAAATTGTTGCATAAAATTGTGAAATCATAAGTGCTGCCAGATTCCATGCAAACTACCGCACATTACTTTGCCAGCCCACCTTAGTCCTGAACTGCAACACACCTACAATTCTGAGCAAAGGCTTCTGAACATGCTAAACTGTACAAAACAGTGTGGGTTTTTATTATTATTATTTTTAAATATCCCTCAAAAATCAGCTTAAGTGACACAGCTTACTTTCACTTGTGACTTAAGTGGGCAAGATTCTGGTCTCCACTACACCTGTATACATTCAGGGGAACCAGATGGAAATGTTTTCCAATGATAATTACTGTGGAAATCAGTTCAGGGGGAGGAAATCTCCATAAGGATCTCCTTGCAGAGATAGAGCAGGATTGTTTCCAGAAGAATAAACTTTGAGGCCTATCCGAAAACACTACAGATCCTTAGGAATGCATAGGAGGCAGACCCTTCTTTCTGTGTGGAAAGTGGCCATCCACCTGGTTCCTGAAAGTGATGCTCCACTGTAGCCATCCTATCTGCCCCAGATATGGCTGCATCCTGGACCCATTTTTACAGAGAATCTTTATAGACTCACAGATTATAAGGTCAGAAGGGACCATTGCAATCATCTAGTCTGATCTCCTGCATAACACAAGCCATAGAAATTCCTTGAATTAATTCTAGTTTGAATTCAGAAGCGGAACTTTTTCTGTAAGTGTGGATTTCCGTAAGTTGGGTTTGGGTAACCCAGGGAACGTCTGTAGACGGCATACTTTGGAAAAACATCCAATCTTGATTTAAAAATTTCCAGTGATGGAGAATTCACCACAACCCTTGATAAGTTGTTCAAATGATTAATTACCCTTAAAATATACCTTTATTCTTAAAAAGTTTGCACCTTATTTCAAGTCTAGCTTCAACTTCCAGCCATTGGATCTTGTTATATCTTTGTCTGCTAGAGTGAAGAGACCTCTATAATCACATTTCTATCCCCTATGTGGCTAGTTATTACTGTGATCAAGTCACCTCTTAACCTCTTAGATAAGATACATAGATTGAGCTCCTTGTGTCTTTCACTATAAGGCATGTTTTCCTATCCTTTAATCATTTTCATGATTGTTTTCTGAACCCTTTATAATTTTTCAACAATTGTCAGCACCAGAACTGGACACAGTATTCCAGCAGCGGTCGCACCAGTGCCAAATACAAGGGTAAAATAACCTTTCTACCGCTACTAAAGATTCCCCTATTTATTCATCTAAGGATGGCATTAGCCCATTTGGCCACAGTGTAGCACTGGAAGCTCAAGTTCAGCTGATCATACACTATGACTCCCAAGTCTTTTTCAGAATCACTCTTTCCCTGGATTGAGTCCCCCACCATATAAGTATGGCCTGCATTCTCTATGCCTAGGCCTATACATTTACATTTCACCTTATTGAAACATATATTGTTTGCTTGTACCCAACTTACCAAACAATACGTATTGCTCTGTGTCAGTGACCTCTCCTCTTCATTATTTACCACTCCCCCAATCTTTGTGTTATCTGCAAACTCTCAGTTATGGTTTTTTTTCCAGGTCATTGATAAAAATGTTGAAGAGTCTAGGGCCAAGAAGTGATCCCTATCGGATCTAGAAACACCCATTCAATGATGATTCCTTGTTTACATTTATAGTTTGAGACCTATCTTTTGGCCAGTTTTTAATCCACTTAATGCTTGCTGTTTTGAATTTGTATCATTCTAGTTTCTTAATCAAAATGTGTGGTGCCAAATCAAATGCCTTGTAGAAATTTTACATCAACACTATTGCCTTTGTCAACCAAACTTGTAATCTAATAAAAAAAGGGGTATCAAATTAGTTTGACAAGATCTATTTCCCATTAATCCATCTTCCGAGTATCAAATCCATTGCTGAGTTGCTGTGAAACCTGTGATGGCAAGTGCCCCGGAGGTGGCAAAGTCTATGTGTGTTTGCTCCACGTCTCCTCCAGCTTCATACATTCCGAGGCCAGAAGGGAACATTGTGATCATCTGGTCTGGCCTCCTGTGTAACACAGGCCAAAGAACTTCCCCCAAAATAATTCCTAGAACAGCGGTTTTCAACCTTTTTGAGCCGCTTTGTGTTACAATTTTGAGTTGCACCCCGTCCAACCCAGACAAAAATAGACACAATATCTTCCCTTCCCAACTCGGGTTTCCAGGGTGTAGGAAGGTAGGTGTGACAGTCTCTGGGAACAGAGCCAGTGCTGGGTGTGGACACTGCCGGGAGCAGAAATCGGGGCAGCCGCAGCGGATGTTGACATCCACAGGGTGGGTGGCCCGCTGAGTAAGTCAGAAAGTGGAGATGGTGCTCCTGCCCCACCGCGCAGGGCTAGTCCCAGCCCTGCCTGGGATTGCCACGTGCCCCACAGTTTGAAAACCTGTGTCCTAGAGCAGATCTTTTAGAAAAACTTTCAGTCTTGATTTAAAAATTGTCAGTGATGCAGACTCCATGGGGAGAGGGATAGCTCAGTGGTTTGAGCATTGGCCTGCTAAACCCAGGGTTGTGAGTTCAATCCTTGAGGGGGCCATTTAGGGAACTGGGGTAAAAATCTGTCTGGGGATTGGTCCTGCTTTGAGCAGGGGGTTGGACTAGATGACCTTCTGAGGTCCCTTCCAAGCCTGATATTCTATGATTCTATGACTCTTGGTAAATTGTCCCAGTGGTTAACTACACTCACTCACTGTTTAAAATGAATACCTTATTTCCAGTCTGAATTTGTCTAGCTTCAAATTGCAGCCATTGGATAATGTTATACCTTTTTCTGTTCGACTGAAGGGCCCATTATTACATATTTGTTCCTCATGTCAATACTATATAAGGAATAAATGAACCAGTTGTGCTACACACTGCATCATATAGATACTCCTGATGTCTGTGAATGTCCCAGGCCTAGTGAGCCAGGCTGAACTTTTGAGAGATGCTCTGTCTATCCAGCAAAATTATTTTTAGATCACTGATCGCTTAAGTTTTCAGGTGCTGCCTGCACTTAAGGTGTCTACCTGTAACCACACCTGGTAAGAGGCTACGGTCAGGGAAATTGAGATATTTGGTGTTGGGTGTGCGGCACGAGGTGTCTTCTCTCCTCTCTTGCCTTATTGCCTGCCTCTCCAGTCTCTGTTTTGAGCTATTGTGGTTGTGGTACACTCCAGGCCCAGCCAGCTGCTGCTGTCACCAGTTCTTCTTCCTCCATCTGCACAAATCTAGGGCTCCCTTATTAACTACTGCACCCTATGTGGGGGCTACAGACCTTTCCCTTCATAATCTTCCTCTGCATCTTCTTCCCTCCATGATCTGCTTCTTTATTATGTAGAGAGAGACTGAATTATTCAATCAAATGAGCACCCTGAGGGCTAGAACATAGCTGAACCGGCCTTTAATATTAGCTTAATTTTATAGAGCCCAAAGGTGTGCCATTATTTCACAGGAGACAGAGAAAGACATAGTTACTGACCCAAATAGCTTAGACTCTAAATAGTGTCATGGGGAAAGGGAGTAACAGTAGGAAAGAGATGTGGGTTACAACCACTGAAAATCAGTGGGTTTTTCAAGATTTACACCGGTGTAACTGGGATCAGAGATTGGACCAGTGTCTCTAGAGGTAATACATTAGAGGCAACACTGCTTAGGTGTTTATTTTTTAAATGTTCTGGTGAATTGAGTGGTCGTAATAAGACAGGCATAGTACAGGCAGACATAGCACAAAATTTCTCAGTTTCTCAGCCAAGACTTCCTGGCCCTGACCAGTAATGGTCCTGCTATTCCAATCTAGGAATGTTTCAAACGAAGAATTGTGCCGTCACTGTGTAGTGATTATGAGAAATAGAGAAACTGTGTCTAGGCTGAGACTGCCAACCTCATTCTAATTTGTGACCTGACCGCAGACCTACTCCTCTTCCCATTGGTTTCAGTGGCAAAACTCTTATTAGGTGGTCTGTTGCAGATTATAAACAGTATATGTAACTGGAGCTCGAGAGGTATGATGTTGGAGCACTAAACAACTGAACCATTCAGCAACCATTCACCATTTCAACAAAATGTAACAAAATGTTAAATGCTTATGGGATATTTTATATCAATTTAATGGTAAGTTGCATTTAAAAAAAATCATATTAACTGTGTTTGGAGCCCAGATCATAATATTCAGCATAATTTAACAGATGTCCTATATATTAGGTAAATAAAATAGCATGCGGTACAATATTAAATACTGTTTGGCTGAACTTCATTACACACCTGCAACACTACCAGTGTATATGAGAGACCATTAAGCAACAATGATCTTAACGCTAATATTATATTGGAGCTGTCACCCCTTAACCTTCTCTTTGTGAAGCTAACTAGATTGATCTCCTTGAGTCTATCACTATAAAGCATGTTTGCTACTGATATGGTACTGTCCTGCAATACCTAAGGGCAGATGGTTAAATTGTGAAACTGAATAGTATAAGGTACTTTAACACATTTATGACATTGTACAATATATTTTATATGGTAATTGATCCCTGACCATCACTTTGGTGTATTGTGTCAATCTTCTACACATCTGAAATAATATATTTTGCCAAAAAATATGTAGTATGTCAGATTATACTGCCGAAGTTTTAGAGTGGTACTAGGAAAAATATATTAAAAATATTAAAGAAAATAAAGCTCCTATATTAGTGCAATGACCAATTTGCATATGTTAAATAATGTAATTCAACTTTGTTTTTTGTTTGTTACGCACATTGTGTGCTAATGGTTTGTAAAATGTCTTTTTTTAAAAGACCAGGTTTTTTTTAAATAAATATCACACAAAACAGTATGCAAAAGCAGACAACTTACATTTTCAAAATTAACTTTTGCAAAATTAAACTAAAAATACACTGAAGGCAACAAGATACAATATATACAAATTGACTGTGATGCTGAGACTTTCTACAACAGTCTAGAACAAATGTGGGGAACCCAAACTCTAGAGAAACATAACTCAGAACTGATAGATCCTCCATTATCCTTGGTCCACTAGTAAAAATCATGACAATAAATGTATTTTTAATTAGCCATAAGAAATATTGTGGAACTGTTTGTAATAATGTGGAAGCAGTTATCCCACACACTTTACTGCCACAGGCATACACAAGTCTGGATCCTTGGCTATGGCCTCAGTAACCTTCCATGTGCATTGAACATATCTGCCTCACCCCATCAAGCCCGAGCTCCAAAAAGGATACCTCAACAAGCAGCAGCACCCACCACAACTTTGGACTAGACGAAGATGTGCTGGGCTGGGTGATGTGTACTTGGCTGTGCTGTCTATAACTACTAGCCCATGTTCACCTCCAGAGCCAGGCATTATGACTCTCAATAATCTACTGTGACCCAGGGCCGCCCAGAGGGGGGTAGGGGGGTACAAGTGGGGCAATTTGCCCCAGGCCCTGGGCCCCACGAGAGTTTTTTGGGGCCCCTGGAGCGGGGTCCTTCACTCGCTCCGGAGGCCCTGGAAAACTCTCGCGGGGCCCGGGCCCCCGGAGCTTCTTCTGCTCCGGGTCTTCGGCAGCAATTCAGCGGCAGCAGGTCCTTCCGCTCCGGGACCCACAGCTGAAGTGCTCTGAAGACCCGCGGCGGGGGGGTCCTTCCGCCCCGGGACCCACCGCCGAAGTACCGGGTCTTTGGTGGCAATTCGGTGGTGGGGGCCCCCTGCCGCCGAAGACCCCAGGCCCCTTGAATCCTCTGGGAGGCCCTGCTGTGACCTAGCAAACACTTGCATAAGCTACGTGCAATGTGGTCCACATAGTGATGATAGGCTGTGATCCTCTATCAGCTACTCTTCTAGTTCAAGTGGTAAAATTCTATGCTGTGGATATGGAAGCTCTGGGATTTATATGTTTCCACATCATGGAATTTCTGGTTTTTGAGACTGTTACAGGATCCCTCTGTCATTCATTTTACAAGATTAACAGTAAATGAAGCTGAGAGTTGTAAGAAGAGGAAGGAAGTTGCTTTGTTAAAATACTACATTGGGATTGAGACGAGCTGGGTTCTATTCTTTGCCATAGACTTCTCCTGTGACATTGGACAAGGCTCTGTTATCGTGCATGTGCACAAAAGTGCCAGATGAAGGCTGCACAGGTAGTGTTCATTCTGGCACTTACTAATTTTTTAGTGCTTGACTTTACAGTCCCAATGTTTTTTAATGGAGCTTATTTGTATGTAACCTCAATGGAGAATGAACTCAGGTCATTACAGAACTTAAACTCCTGGCTCTACTTTGTGGACTTTATTTTTTCCTCCCCCCTTGCTACCTGCTGCTAAGACATTTCACAGCTCTTTTTAAAATCAACATTTTGCTTTCCTTGTCAGCAAGGATGCGGGTGCAGCAGTTAAGATAAACTGCTGGAGTTCTGCCATATAGGTGGGCTGTCACCATGACTGAAACTGGGAAGGAACTTTATTCTCTGTTGGCTGCTTCTCATTAAAAATTGTTTGTATATGAATTTTACATATACAGTATGGATTACTATAAGTGATAAGAGGATGACATCATAGGGTTTGCTGAACTGGTAGGTAAATGCCAGAGAAACTACAATTTAAAGTAAGCAGACCAACAAATGTATGTTTTATTCTTTCTTCCACTTTGTTTTTTATTTTATTTGTAAAGACAATTGGCTTTTATACCAACTCATTTTCTACTGTTTTGATTAGAGCCAAACACTATCACTCTAGTTATTTTGGGCCCTGCTGACTTCAGAAGGGGCTGGGGCTGTCATATGCATCCAGTGGCAAAATTTGTTACCTAAGCCTGACTTTTCAAAAGTGACTCATGAGTATGGATACCTTTGTTTTTAAATGCCAAACTTGACACATCTTAAAGGGACCTGATTTCTAGACAATACTGACCATACACCCCCTGAAAATTAGCAGCCTGTTAGGCATCTCAAGATGAACACTTAAATATTGAGACACCCAAATGACTCATTATATTTGAAAATATAGATTGAAAAGGTTTTTTTAGGAGAAGCCTTTACATTTTTGCTGGTATACTTATACTAACAGCTTTTTAGCCACCTTGTCACCTTCTACTTGTATAAAGTGCTAAAACTGTAGCATTTGGTATTATCATATTACTACTAAGAGTAATATGACTGAGGAAAATGAAGTTACTCTCCCATGAAAAAAACTCAACAGAAAACCATGTCTTATGGTGCATAGCGAATTAGATTGGGAGTCAGGAAACCTGGCTTCTATTCCCAGTTCTGCCTCTAGCATGCTGAATGACTATGGGCAAGTCACTTAAACTCTCTGTGCCTCCATCTCCCCGCCCGTAAAATGGTACTGACCTCCTCTGTAAAAGTACTTTGAGGTCTACTCATAAAATTGCTATACAAGAGCTAGGGATTATTATACAAATGACTGACCTGTGCCACCGTTTGCCAGCTGGTAGCATCATCCTCACTGGGATGGATTCCATAATTCCATCTCCTCTGCACCACATAGATCACAGGCTCAATTGAAATATTGAATTTTGAAGACCACTTAACCTCCAGTTGTCCAGACTGAAGTTCTGTGAATTTTAATTCTTTCCTGGGTTTCAATGGAACACCTGAAATAGGAACAGACAAAATGTTAAGACATTTACAAAACAGGGTATGTATGTGTAAGCGAATGTAGGAAGTGTTGTGGGACAATTAAGAGGGAAATGGCTGGACAGACTGAAAAAAAGTTAAGGGGTTTAACATGCATGAGGCGTGGAACTTTCCAAAGTGTTCAAAGTTGGCTTAACTCTGTTCCCACTAAACTCAATGGTAAAACTCATATTAAAGTTAGTAAATTTAATGCCAAGTGCATTTGAAAATTCCACCCTACTTCATTATTTCCTTTATCAACCACTACACTACAATCTACTGAAATTGCCTTTTAAAAGTTTACAGCAATCACTCACCACATGCTGATAGAGTATTATGTTCTCTCTGCAGTTTTGTCATCATGATTATAACACCTCTTTGCAACATTTATAACAGACTGGGGGAAAGAATTACTTTCTAGAGCTGGTCTCTTTTGATTAAATCAGCAAATCAAGTTGTTAGTTGCATTTCTATGGATACTCTTTTGGAACTCATCTATTTCAGTATCTAGCACTCTCTTACTTCAGATCAAGTCACAAATAAAACTGCTGTAATGACATTTAAACCCTCCTATCAATTTTTCCCTATGTATTTTAATTATGTTGTGACTTTAATAAAGCTCTACACAGGTGCCAGGGTTCACTGTGTGGATTGGTGCCACAGATTGTAATTTAAATATGTTTCTACCCTAAGTATTCATGCACAGATGACTCCAAGAAATGACAAATAGTTTTAATATTAAGAGCTCAATACTTTTACATTAGAATTGTATCAAACGAGGGATGTAAAAACAGCCAAACATTAGTCCCATTGAAGTCAGAGTTTTGCCACTGACATCAATGGGGCAAGGATTTGATTCAAAGAGCATATATAAATCAGGTCTCAGATGTTTTTTTCTCCATATCCAGAACTGATATTACTGTATAATGGGAGCATCTGTGTCTTCTTAGCAAATCCAAAACTGCCAGTGTGTAAACATAAATTATCAGAACTTTGATCCACTTATCTCTATTTACCAAAGATTTAATTGAGGAATATCTGAGGTTTACTTGTTCCGACTCCTTCACTTCCTTAGATCAACAAATTACCTTTTGCAGAGCTTTATAAACAGACCTTTCCCAATTACATAATCTGCTACAGTAAATAAAGACAAATACTGTCGTAACCTAAAAGCATCATGAGGAAAATTCAGCATCCAAATCCTGTTACCACATAGGTTTAAATCCTGGATATCATTCAACAGCCAGAAGTCATAATCTAATGTAATGAGCATCATGAACTATCTCAGTTCAAATGTCTACATTTTCAAAACCCTTTTTAATTATGATGTACAATAATCCTACAATTTGCATGTTAAGAAATCTTCCATCTGCTTTGCATCAGGGTCAGTTGGATTCACTTGATTGGAAGTAACTCAACCTCTCTGGTGTATGTAATTGTGTGCAGATGGATCTCAGCAGTACAAACAACTAGAGCATAGCACAAGTGCATTTTAGAATACTTTTGTGAAACCAGCATCATCAGTTTCATATCCAGATGTGTGGATGCAATCACTTCTCAATGTGCTTTTTATTATGTAAATGGTCAGTCCCTTTAACCATTCTTGAACAAATTAGTCTTCTGAAATCCAGTGTTCCAGTGTGGAATTCAGTCCATGTCTTGTTTTATATGTGGAATACCAGAGTCCAGGAAATGTGTTACGAAAGGTGTTTTTCAACTAAAACCTATGTATCTGTGCCATGCAAAGTAAATATATAAAGATCAGATATAAGAAAGCATACTTATAACTCAAATGTAAGAGTAACCTAATACCTGGGAGTTGGGGGGTGGGAGTTCAAAATATGTGGATAATTGTGTAAATGGAATAATTTCAGACAATAACATTAATTTTAAATTTGTGACCATCCTGTCTGACTTGATGGCTCACTGGAGGTTTTTTAAACCTACCCTAGCCATGTTTTTTAAACATACCCAAAAAGTTGAAGGTAGCATATAAATGATTAATAATACTCTTTGACAAAAAGGATAGGCTTAATGTGAAATGCAGTGGGCCACAATATTTGCTGGCCTAACTCCACTTATTTCAGTAACATCAGCAGAGAATTTGACCCAATACCTATACATTCTCAGAGCAGTGTTATGGCAAACTTAACAAAAGGAAAGAGAAAAATACACAAATTCACACCATTTGACCATACAGAGGACGTAATCCTGCAAGCAGTTTTGACAACACATCATACAATGATTTCTTCTATGGGACTCAATTATACTCATGGGAATACTTGTTTGCACATTGGGCCTTTATTTTCATTAAAGCTAAAGGACATATGTGACAGATGTGGCAATGTCTTGCAATATCTTACTGCATGAAGTTTATGTATCATTGTGGGCCAGGCACTGTATGTAATTTCATGGGGTAGACTGACCACAGCCCTGCAGGAACTAAGAACAATGAGGGGTGATTAGGTAAATTAACTCACCTCCAGTACCTGGAGATGCTCGCATACACAGGTCCAGACTAGATTCTCCGGAGACCAACAGACTGAAAAAGGACCTTTGGATAAACAGTCTGAGTTTAAACTAACTCAGCTCAGCACGTTCTTTCTGATCCAGCAAATGGACAAGACCTTTTGTCCAAAGTGGGGAGGGGTCAATCTTCGGGAAAGTATTGCAAGGACTGACACCTATCAGAGTCAAAGTTGAGATGATCCCTTTTAAGCTTTTTAGCATGACTGTAGGTTTTTCTATTGTTTTTAATGTTCTGTCTAATGGTTTCGCCTTAAGAACAAGTGTTCTTGCTTAGAAAGGGCAGTGTGGTAACTTACAACTGCTGGCCATTATGCTGCTCATAAGCCTTATCATAGAATATCAGGGTTGGAAGGGACCTCAGGAGGTCATCTTGTCCAACCCCCTGCTCAAAGCAGGACCAATCCCTAGACAGATTTTTACCCCAGTTCCCTAAATGGCCCCCTCAAGGACTGAACTCACAACCCTGGGTTTAGCAGGCCAATGCTCAAACCACTGAGCTATCCTTCCCTCGGCCCGCGCCACTTCCAGCAGCCCCCATTGGCCTGGAGCAGCGAACCACGGCCAGTGGGAGCCGCAATCGGCCAGACCTGCGGACAGGGCAGGTAAACAAACCAGCCCGGCACACCAGGGGCTTTCCCTACACAAGCGTCAGGCCCAGTTTGAGAAACACTGCCTTAGAAGACTAAGCAAAGTGCAGATGCTGGCCTATGCAGGCAGTCTTGCTTGTTTGGAATAACACAGTGTGGGCAGGAAACTATATGGCTTGGAATTACCCCGGTCAGGAGGGAGAGAGACATGAGTCTCTGCCCAAGACAGGTAACAGCTGGGATCCAGAAGCCTAAAAGTGGGTGCCCTTGCTGGACCATGGAGACGAAATACAGGTGCAGTTGCCCTGAACTGTGACAGCATATTAAATTAATTAAAAGTTTTCATTCAATTTTTCTGTCTATTACCAATTTCCAAAGCTTGATCAACGGTGAAACTATAGCAACTTGCATAGGGCTAGTCTACACTAGAAGTGCTACAGCAGCACTGATGCAGCTGTGCTTCTCTGGCGCGACTGGAGAAGACGCTCTATGCCAACAGGTCAGCTCTCTCCCATTGGCACAATAAATCCACCTCCACGAAAGGCAGTAGCTATGTCAGCAGAAGTTCTCCTGTCGACACAGCACCATCCACACTGGTGCTTAGATCAATGTAATTTACATCGCTCAGGTAGGGTGGTTTATTCACACCCCTGAGCAACGTAAGTTATACTAACATAACCTATAATGCAGACAAGCCCATGGACTCTCTTAGTTTCAATCTGAGTTCATTTTCTGGCTATGAGTGCTGTCAAAAGGATTAGCATGAGTATTAGATTTGTTCACTAGATCTTAGTCACGCTTGCCAATTTTGCTCTTCCTAGTGGCAGGGAGGTCATTTGTCCTTGGAGAAAATGAAAAGCAAGCCTGCCCAGCTCCATCTTGTTCCTTGTTGTAGGAAGACAATTTGAAGGGCTAATTATCTGAATTCATCAGCTGAGAAAGCAGAAGAGCATTGGTTCTGCCCTCCCTGTGTAACACAAGCAAATACCTACTGAAGATAACTGATAAGATGTTGGAGCAGAATGTTAGTGCTACAAGTATATAATTAGACCAAACTTCTCCTTTTGCATTCATACAGCATATCATATCCTATGTATGCTTTGTCCCCTACACACATCCCTTTAATTTAGCCTGCACCCCACCCCGCTCCACACATGACCCAGTTATAAAATACATTTGAATGCCCTCAATTACACTTACTAAATAACATCACATTTGAGGTTTGGTCCTGTAAACTTCTGCTCCCATGCAATACAGATACTCTATTACTTTAGCACCACTTTTTGGTGATTTGCAACAAAAAGAATATGAATGAGTTAATGAAATCGTTCATTTTTAATATCTTTTGCACATTAATATGTGATGTTATAATAATGTATTAAAGTCTTGTAATTATATAAGGCCTGATTCACAGACCATTGAAACCAGTGGAAATCTTTCCATTGACTTCAATGAGCTTTGGATCAAGCTCTTATTGCAGGTCATCCCAAAGCACTTTACATACAGTGCCTTTCTAGGTTCCAAGTTTACTGTGCTTCGGAAACTTTCTGATCAAATTTGCTTTGTTTATGTAAGTAAATCAAAAGAGTTTTCTAACTGCTAACCCTGTCTGGGTTTAGAAAGTCAAGCTAGATAGACTTGGGTAGTGTGGGCTTGATTTGTTCCAGTTCTGTTCATAATGTCCTTGACAGTCCTAACAGAAGTATACACTTCTGTTATTTTCTCACTAAAGTAAGGGGAATTGACTTTTAATATACACACAAACCAAGTCTGTGGAGTCAGAAAGTGTCTTTTATACAGTCACTCTTCAGTGTTAGATTCACACTTTAAGAATATTTAAGTGAACAAAGTTATTGTTAACAAATTAAAATCTGGAGCCACTCTTAGAGCTCCATAAATTCCATAAATTATAATACCTTATTGTTGCATGATGAGGAAAACTTTCTTCTCAGAATTTCAAGACTCCAATCAAAGCAATTAAAAACATTTTAATAGAACTTGTTTCCTCAGTTTCTTCAAGTATTGAAATACTGCTTATATGTATTTTGTTAGTATTTTCTAACTGCTTTATCTGTAAGATATCAAGACCATTGATTCAGGATATAGCACTCATTTGCTTTTCAATTGGATTATCTCTCACTATGTATTTGGTAGTGCTACCCACTTGATTCTTATTAACAAAGATTATATCTGATTTAAGTGACGTTAACTGTTTACCTTTAAATATTTTCATTGTTAAAATTGTTCTTCTCATCTGTGTAAAATGAAGTGACACTTTACATAGACGGGCCAATTTGTTCTGCTTATGATTCAGATTCACTGTGGCCTCCTTTCTGTGGTTCACTGACACTTTGTTAGGGATTCCACGAGGGAATTATAGAAGTGTAGGATTGGAAGGGACCTCAATAGGTCATCTAGTCCAGTCCCCTCCACTCAAGGCAGGACTACATAATAACTAGACCAGTGATTCTCAACCTTTCCAGACTACTGAACCCCTTTCAGGAGTCTGATTTGTCTTGCGTACCCTCAAATTTCACCTCACTTAAAAACTACTTGCTTACAAAATTAGACATAAAAATACAAAAGTGTCACAGCCACATTATTACTGAAAAATGGCTTGCTTTCTCATTTTACCATATAATTATAAAATAAATCAACTGGAATATAAATACTGCACTTACATTTCAGCGTATAGCATATACAGCAGTATAAACAAGTCATTGTCTGTATGAAATTTTAGTTTGTACTGACTTTGCTAGTGCTTTTTATGTAGTGTGTTGTAAATCTAGGCAAATATCTAGATGAGTTGTACCCCTGGTTGAGAACTAGACCATTCCTGACAGGTGTTTGTCTAATCTGTTCTTAAAAACCTCCAGTGACAAAGAACAATTTACAGTTACAATTATATCCTCACAATCACCTCTCTCTCTCTCTCTCTCTCTCTCTCTCTCTCTCTACACACACACACACACACACACACACACACACACACACACACACACACCTTCACTATAAACTTAAAGGTCTTGTTTTTCAGGCAGCTTTATTACAGGCTAAAACACTTAGCACACTAAATGATCTCTACCTTTGTACAGATTTTTTGGTACTTGACATGTATGTCCACATCCATTGGAGCAGCATTTCTTCACCCCAGAACATTCACTGTCAGCCTCACAGCTTTCAACGCAGGCAGCCGCAAAACCACTGGCCTTCTCAGGTGCTGGGCAGTCTCCTTGCTTCACTGACAGGATATACTTGAGGAATTCACAGCTAGTTAGGCATTCATAGTTCTTCTTGGGGAAAAGAGGCTAAAGGGAACATGAAACAATTGTACAAGTCTTCAGTGGGGAAAAAAAATAATGCTGAAAGTTTCCCAAGACCTTTGGAAAGAAAATTCAAATATTGCAAGACTACCCCTGCGGATTTACATATCCATGTAGCTTCTAAACAAAGCTTGCAGAGTACAAAATGGTGAATTCCCTCAAACAAGACCACTGTCTTTTATGGAATTAAATTGTTTTTATCTACCAGCTTTTCTCTTGTTTTCCTCATATTAGCTGACTATGAAGTTGCTTCATGACAGATTGAAAACATTCACAAAACAAAGGGAAAGGGTTGTCTGGACAGTCCTTTTTGGAATTATTCTGCATTTTTCCTTTTGTATTTCATAGCACTTTAACCCTAGTATATTGCATAGCAGTGGTGCAGGAACTAGGAATGCTGGGAGTGCTACCACACACCCCTGCCTTGAAGTAGTAATAGCAAACACCAAATACATTGTTTCCATCATGAGCACCCCACTATAAAAATCATTCCAGCACCCCTGCTGCATAGTGCCACCCAAAATTACACAGACAAAATGTACTAGTAATATTTTCATTAGGTTGTTGAATCATATTGATGTGAGGGGACTTACCAACATCTTTATGCTAATGTCAATTTTTTTTAAAGGAGAGAGATTTTTCAATGATCAGTTAATTCTACTTCTGTCAAAAAATAGGTTCCAGTTCTATGGAAAGCTACAAAATGTTAAAAGGCATGTACCATTGTAGTTCCAATAATGGGCTTATGGAGTTCATTTAAAGTTGCTTCTAAAAGTATTATGAATTTTCTCAGAGAATGATTTTGGAGCCCTATTCTACAAACCCCTATTCTTGTGAGTAACTCTTTCTCACATTGCTAGTCCCACTGTTTCAGTGGAATCCTCACATGAATAAGAAATGCTGAATCAGGCCCTTATTTCCCAGTAGACACTTTGCAAACTTTGAAGTTAAATTTTGCTTCCAAATGTTATCCTGAATAAAGAGAAATTGACATAATTCCACTGCAAATGAGAATGGTCTGGGTTAATTCAATCAAAATGGCATCTTCTGCAGTGAGGTTGTGGGTGACAGTGAGTGTGTGTGTGAGAAGGAAGGAGAGGCTAATTTTAATCCTAAAACATCACAAATTTGCAGCTAGTTAATTAAAAAACTTTATAGCCCCTCAAGGCGTAATATGTCTTCAAGGCTTCTCCTCCCCAATCTGTTTCACAGCTCATTTTTCTGCTAGCTGCTAAATGTGCTGCTCTTCATTACTGGCCTTTGAGGTTCTAAATTTAGCTTCAATCATAAAATCACTAATCAAAAAGGGATGCTAGCACAGTTTAAATACAATAGAGCAGTGTTCTACTAATGTTTTTCTTTTAAACCAAAATGTGTGAATTCAAATTTGGAAATGTAAAGCCACAGTGAGGAGGCTTATAAAGATGTATGTAAGTTATACCCACTTTATACTACTTTAGGTCTTGTCTACATGAGAAAGCTACATGAGTTTAAATCAATTAAGGCTATGTCTACACTGTAGACCTTACAAGGGCACAGATGTACCACTGCAGCTGCGCCACTCTAAGATCTCCCGTGTAGGCGCTCTATGCTGGTGTGAGAAAGTTCTCCTGCCAGGATAATTAAACTATCTTCAATGAGCAGTGGTAGCTATATCAGCAGCAGAGTGTTTTCCGCCGACATAGCGCTGTCCATACCAGCACTTTTGGTGATGAAACTTATGTCGGTCAGGGGTGTGTTTTTTGTGTGTTACCAAGAAAAGTGGTAGGGTAGAGTAGACAAAACTTTAGTTTAAGGAAATCTAAGGACTTGTTTACACAGAGAAGTTTTACCAGTTGTGCTAATATAGGCTGGGTCTACACTACCCGCCTGAATCGGCGGGTAGAAATCGACCTCTCGGGGATCGACGCTCTTACTCCACCAGCGGAGGTGGGAGTAAGCGCCGTCGACGGGAAGCTGCAGAGGTCGATTTTGCCGCCGTCCCTACAGCGGGGTAAGTCGGCTGCAATACGTCGAATTCAGCTACGCTATTCGCGTAGCTGAATTTGCGTATCTTAAATCGACCCCCCCCCTGTAGTGTAGATGTAGCCATAGTTATATATGCATAGTTACACCAGTATAACCTGACCCCATGCAGACAAACTTATTCTGGTATAAAAATGCCTTTTTGAATTCAGTTTAAACCCCTTCCCAAGAGACATAAACTAAGCCAAAAAAAGGCATTCTTATACCAGAATAAGAGTGGGAAGGCAAAGGGAGGGGGGTTAAAGCAGTATAACTTTATCAGTTAAATTAACACCTTAGATTAAACTAAAAACACTTCCCCATGAGACAAAAACAAAAGTCTTGTCTATGCACAGACTTTTATTAATTTAATGGAAGGATGTTTTAAAACTGATTTAGTTAAACCAGTGCAAAGCCCTGTGTAGAAATTCTTATTTTGGATTAAATTTAGTTTAGTTTAAATCTGTAAGAAACTAATAAATAAATGTATATGAACCACTCTCAAACCAACTAGGATTATATACACAACATGTTGCACTGATTTAACTAGTCTACGCTAGGAGGACTTTGCTGATACAGCTATATGGGTATAGTTATAGTGGCAGAGCCCCCTAGTGGATACTTATCTTATATTGGCCTAAGGTGCAAGCCAGTATAGCTAAACCAGTTCCCCAAACAATATACACTATACTGGTAAAAGGACTCTTGACAGCATACCTATGTTATTTGGAGGCATGGATTTTTTCACTCCCTTGAACCAACATAGACCTGGCCTAAATCAGGGTTTGTCTACCTACGGAGTTATTCCAGAATAGCAATTCCCAAAGAACTCTTCCTGATTTGGACATTCTTGTTCTGGACATTTGGACATTCTTGTTCTGGAATAAGACCAACTTTCTCCAATTTAACGTAATCCACTTTGGAAGGGGATTAACATAAACCAGAAAAAGGCTTTCTTATTCCAAAATGAGAGTGTCCACACATGGAGTTAATCAGGAATAGTTAATCTGCTTTCAGTTCTCACTGTACCTTATTCCAGAATAATTTTCATGTGCAGACAAAACCTCAGGCTAGGTCTACACTGGGGGGGGGGGGAGTATAGCAAGAATTGCAACTAGCTAGAGAGATTTTAACAGAACTTCTCATATCTGTAAAGTTAAGTAGGCTTGTTCTAGATGGGGGACTCAAGTTTCAACTTGAGGAAAGCACCTGGTTGGTATAAAAAAATCAGTAACAAATTGTGAAAATAATGTTTGTTACTTAGATTTAAAACTACTAAATTGTTATACTCTCGTCCTCCCAAAATATAGGAGAATGCGGCATATATAGATTGTGTGTGTTAGCTGTCACCTTAAAGTGCAAACCTCCATAGTAGTAAAAATGAAAGAGACAGCCAGAACAAAGTGAGAAAGAATGCCTCAGGGCTGACCTACCTCACAGAAACTTTGGCAATGGTTTTTCTTCAAGTCCCAAGATTCTTTGCAGGGCTCCAGGCACTGGGGGAAATCATGAAAAAGAGAAAAGGGACATGTCAGTAAGAGGAAAAAGTAACATTCATAGCTGACCTTATGCCTTTATTGATTGTTTGACACACAGGAAGTTAATAATAGGTTTCTTTAAACTACTTCTCCTGAGGATAAGATTGTGTCATAGTTTCAGATCAAGGTCATTTTGAACCACTGTTAGATTATAGGAAATGTTTCCAATATTTCTCACTGTACTAGGCAGCATCCTTGGCTGTGTATGTGCCATCCCCTTAATTGCTGTGTTGAACCTGGATACCGAGAACAGTTAACACCATGCCACTGGATTGCTCCATGGAGCCTAGAGACAACCGTTATTGTCTAACGTGCTCTTGCAAACTAACCCTTGTCTCCTGTGCTGAACCTAGTAAGTAGGCTGGCATATGAGCTCTGCCAGGCTGGGAGGTGAAGGAATCCTGCCTCCTGAGACCATGGAGTAGCAGTAGCAGAGCTCTCATCACTGTTCTTATGCATTTGTGAGAGACAAGGCCCAATGGTCATGTAGTAGCAGATTCATCAATCCCAAACCACTGCTTCTTCACCTTCAAACTCCACCATACAGGGATAATAAATAAATAAATAAATGGAGATACCCTATCTCCTAGAGCTGGAAGGAACCTTGAAGGGTCATTGAGTTAAGTCCAGCCCCCTCCCCACTAGGAGGGCCAAGTACTGATTTTGCCCCAGATCCCTAAATGGCCCCCTCAAGGATTGAACTCACAACCCTGGGTTTAGCAGGCCAATGCTCAAACCACTGAGCTATCCCTCCCCCCCTACAAATACAGTGAGCTTAGTACCATGGTATGCAGGATGTGCAGACCCCCAGCACAGAATCCCCAAACCTGACCCACACTGCACACCAGAGCAAAACTAGAGCCAGGCTGTCTGGGACCCTCTATTACCATGGAGAAGGGAAAAGATTTGCCACTTCCTAAAATCTTGATTCTTCCTTATTTTGGGGGTGTTTTTTTTAATTATTTTTAAGGCAAAAGATCTTGGAAAATACTAATAGAGCTGAGAGTAAATTCCATATACTATCCCTGGCCACAGGGGAAAGCTGCTACACTGGAGAATAAGGCCCTTGATGTACAGTTTCGCATTAAAATCACATGTATTCCTTAAATACATATTGCATTTTATTTTAGAATCAAGAATTTAATGTAAGAACATGAGAATGGCCACACTGGATCAGACCAATGGTCCATTAACCCAGTATCCTATCTCAGACAGTGACCAGTTCCAGATATTTCACAGGGACTGAATAGAGTGGCTCTCATAGGACCATGTGTATCTACACAATTTAGAAATGAATATAAACATATAACCTATATCTAAGCATAACTGTACATATGTGCCATGGCAAAAAACTAAATGCACTGAAACAAGATTTGCCTTTTTTTCCTATTAATGAAAGAGAACTGTGAATTCGGTGGGAAAAAAATCATAAAAGTATTAGTCACAGGGGCTACAACAATGAAATATAGCTATCCCCCATTTCCTATTTTGGTGTTTTGGTGTTTTAATCCCAGCTTCTGGCAGTTTAATAACCACAAGATACACTTTAGCATATAGACTGCTACTTTTTAAAGTTTTCACTAAATTCCGTCAATTTAATGAACTCCAGAGTTTTCTTGCTTCTGTGCTATAAGTGCCATACGTCTGAGCCTGATTCTGCTCTCACCCCAGTTTTACAACCTCAACTGGCTTTGATCGAGTTAGTCTTGATTTACAGTGGTATATGAGGGAAGACACTATGGGTGAAATCCTGACTCCATAGGAGCTCTGCCATTGACTTCAATGACCCTATACCTTTTCCTAATTCTTGCTTGGTTACTGCAGAGCCAGAGAAAGCTTTCATTAGTAAATAACACCAGACCCCCATCTACATACAAAAGGGATCTTCCACATGTGCCTCATACTCTTCCCACATGAAAGGAAGGCGCTATTGCCTCTATGGCACGGCCCCTCCACTTAGCCTGAGGATCTGGAGGAGACAGGACAGTGGCAAGGAGTAGGTTGGGAGGCCTGACTCAGGTCCTCTCTGACATGGGGATCAGCCTATGAGGGGAGTAACTGATGGCACAAGAAACCATGACTCTGCAGCTTCAATGGAGTTGTATGGCTTGGGTACTGGTGAAGGAGTCACCAGGAGCAGAGAAACAAAGTGCAGATGGGCCTGACCTTCTGCTGATAACCCAGGATTTAGGATACTCTTCATATAGGCAGTTATGTAGCCCCCATCACCATAGCAAAGGGGTGTCTTACTCACATTAATGAATGTGTATTTAGCCTCATAACAACACCAGGAAATAAGTCTTGATATTGCCATTTTACAAGTGAGAAACTGAGGCACCAAAGTCACATGGGAAGTCCCTGGCAAAGCTAGGATTTGAACCCAGCTCTCTTGTATTTCAGTCCATGGCATTAACCAAAGAGACCATCCCTGAGATCTCATGTGCTGTTTGTAGGGAGGGCAAACCTTACCCCATTAATGGCAATGTTCAGGGCCAAATTTCAGGGAGGAGAACAGTACAGATATTTCTCTCTGTTTAGATCTCTCCTGTGGATTTTCTCATGACAGGAATCAATATGTCTCATAGTGGCCAACCTGTGTTAATTTCTAGTAAGGCATTCTATTCTGGTTTACATTACAAATACTCTTCTGAACTGCATTTTATTTATTATATTTAAATAAAGTCCCCCCTCTCCCTTTATATAGGCTTTAAATAGGCTGTTTATCTATGTGTGTTCTGCAAAAGACTGATTCTGATCCACATTTGTTGAAGAAGTGCCCAAAGTGGGGCATCCAATCAAGCTAGGCACTCAGCTGAGGATTCGCCCCTAAAAACAGGAATTTGACAAATGAAAGTCTTGTAAGATCAAGCCCTCAATCAATAATGCTTAGGCAGGAAGATACTGTAAGATATAAAATATGTCATGTTGAATATTTAAATAAAGTCAACCCATTGTCACTAGCAGTGGCAGGCAATATTTGCTTTTTATGTCCAACTCTTCAGAAAATATCTGAACAAAGTATGTGTGTCTTGAAATTAAATATCCGGATGACACATTTCAAACACTTTGCTGAAAGTCACCAAGGGCCCAATCCAAAGTGCACTGATGTCATATGGAGTCTTTCCGTTGATTTCAGTGGACTTCAGACAAGATTTCATTCTGGTGAGGAGAATATACAATTCTTCTGGCCAATAAAAAGAATTTCAAAGAAAGGCCTACAACACTCATGGGAAAAGTATTCTATCCAGCAAGTAAACACTTCCTGGTTTTCCAGATTATTGTAAATGTGTGTCTGTAAAAGGATTCTGAAAATCCTTCTTCCAGGATAAGGCAAAATTTATGCCAGGAAGCAGTTTTCTGCTGATTTTTACTATTTTACTTATAAAGGAGAAAAAAGTCACCTGTAACCATACCACCATCTCTCAGAAGCTAAGCTAAGTACAGTACTTGGAGGACAGACCACCAATATATACCAAGCTGCTGCAGGAAGTGGTTCTGATGATTCAGTCAGTAGATGGCACTGTTCCCTCTGAGTTACTACTGAACCAATTCCAGCATGATGTTAGGGCGCATTGTGCTGCTGGAGGGGGCTATCCGGCTATGTTTTGTATGAGAGATAAAACTGAGGCCCTAACCACCTGTGGTCATTAGAGGCCCACTGGTACTCTTCATAAGAGGAAAGGTGTTAACCTGCTGGCCTTGCTAAATTCCATTTTGGATAACTGCACTATCCCTATGTTAAAATCTGCTGTAGTTTAACTTGGCTTTTTCTTTCCTGTTCTAGTCTAATTTACAGTGTTGCTGTGAACTGTCAAACAATCGCCATGTTTCAACACATTCCCTGCTTTAAATGATAACTGAAATGATCCCAATATCTTGTATCTTTCAAAACCAATGTAGGTATAAACTATGTCAATGATGACTACATATACTCAGGAATAATGTTAAGCTCTTGCCACTGGTTGAGTTGTATGAATTACTGCTGTTTTCATTAGTTTTGTTTTGCAATCCTTTTATCGTGTTTTTAAAATTATGGTAGGGGACACTCTTCACTACGAAAAGAATTTATTTGATGCAGAGTTTTTAAATATAAATTAACACAAATACCCATACAAAAAGTATGACCTATAATACTTACTATATTTAGGGAACAGAGTAGGAAGGGATTTTCAAAAATGCTTACTTAGCATTGGCTTATTTCTGGGTTTTACTACAGCTGGTTGGGAATTTTCCAGCTAAATGTTTTTGGGTGGAAAATGGTGATTTGTCAAAAATGTTCATGATGAATCACCCAATAATTTTTTAATAGTTTTAAAATTGATGAAACATTCCATTTTGACATTTGAAAAAGAAAGTTTCATGTTTTGATTCAAAAACATTTTGTTTTAAAATTGTAAGTAATTTATACTAAAACGAGTTTTAAAATACTTTAAAAGTCTAAATCAAAACAAAATATTTCAAAATTACCAAAACATTTCAATTGGCCTGATCTCAATTTTTTTCCTGATTATCAATTCATAAAATGTTTCGAGATTTTGACTTTTCATCATGCTTTGGGATGGGGAAAAATGTTGAAATCTCGAAAATTCTCATGGGACAAGAAAACCAGCTACAAGCCCTTTGTGACTTCAGCGGGAACAAAATTAAGCCAACAGAGAGCTTTTCAAACTCTCACACATAGTGCATTGCAAGTCTTTTCTGGTATTATATATATTTTTAAATGACAGTCTATTAGTTACTCTAGGGGGAAAAGTCTTCATTTTGTATTTGTTGTATGAAGCATCTTACTGTCCCATAGAGGTAACTGAGTTAAACAGTCATGCCAAAATGTTGCTTAAGCATAACTCCCTTTTCTAGCATCAGTTATCATACCCATTTCCACACCTCTAAGGTATTGTATTAGAGATATTGTAAAGAGCTGGGACCTAAATGACTCCAAAATTGTCTTCCACCTGTAG